GGTTCAGTTATTTCAAGGGAAGTGACCTTCAAAGTGTGAGAAAAGAATGGTCTAGTGACCCATATTGTAGCCTGAGACGCTTGGTAGACCCAGAGAGGAACAAGAGTTCCTCGGGCATAACTCTGATTTTCTGTTTGAATTTAAGCCCTTATGCAAAAATGAGGTTGGTTATTTCAGTGCCTAGCTTTTGAGTGTCTTCGGTCAGATTTTTTTTTTAATTAATATTTACAATTTCTCTGCTTTTAAAAGTTCATCCCTCTGTAGTATAAACTGTAGGTCTGAGTTATACCTTAAGGTACCTGTTCCATAAATGGGAGAAACAGGCCTTTCAAAATGGGAATGTGAATCTAGCACTAATGATCAAGTAAGAATACAAATACAATCCTTAAAAGACTGATGGCACTGCCAATCTTTTGTCTTATTGAGTAAAACCCTTGTGTAAAACTCCACAAGCTTGCTTGGGAGGCAAACAAAGCAGAGGAACATCTCATTTGTTTATCCTGATAGGATTTATGTGCAAATTTTCTGGACATGTAATGTTCCCAGAGCCAGAAGCAGAACCTTAAAGCACAGGCAGAAGCTTGTAAATATTGGAGCCTAGTAGGGCCTGAGGATCAATAATGGATTCACAGCGGGGAGGATCCACATAAAGTAGAAGCTTGTTAAGACTGAGATATCTAAATGCCATTAATCTTTTGGCTTCTTGTCTGCAAAAAGGATATTGTAGTCCCTCCTTAATGCATAAAGACTTTGACAGACTAGGCATATCAAAAGTTATGAAATGTTTAGATATAGTGATAATGGAGCTTAGAGCTGAGTGCATAGAAGCCCTTGGAGCCTGGGCAGCCCAGGTGCCAGGAGCCTGGAAGTCTCGGCTTTCTGGCACCTCATCCAGCAGACTGCCTAAGAGCCAGAAAGACAAGCCAGCAAGCAGTCAGTGTAACAGGACTTGATAAAAGATCTCCTGGTTTCCACTGGAACTTGGGCAAAACAGATACATTATTGAAAGAAACACCAGATTTCATCAAAGTGGCATTTTCCGACAGAAAAACATGCCATCCAAGAATCTTTAATCAATTTTACCCCTAACTGCATTGTTAAAACAATGCGTCATACACCTCTGGTGTACTTTGTGCCAAATCAACACTAGCAGCCCGGTTGGCTGACTAAAAGTCTCCCTTTAATCACTGACAGAAATTGCTGCTAATGTTAAGAAAACCATGCCAGCCTCAGTGAATGCGCATTTATAGACACTTTAAAACTCTGCACACAAGCATTTATTGGTGATAAAAGTCTCCAAAAGCAATACAATATGGCTTGGTGTGACTCAAAAACATTTAGCATCGTTCCTGTTAACTCCACGACAGGTACTTATTTATGTATAGCATATCATAGTATCCTAGCACCTCACAGGTGGCCTTCTGGGGAACTGTCCCAGCATACCTCGGAGGAGGGGACGTGCCAGCTATTCTTCGTAGATCAGACACTTAGGCATACAAGCCAACGGCACAGCAAGTGTGTGCTGTGTACTGTTCTCAGATTGTAAACTGGGACTGCTATCCAGAGCGCAAACAGGGAACAGAAAGACAAAGTGAGAGATATGCCGGCCATAATGTGGAGTAATTCAGCAGGCGCATAGTTTTAAGCTCTAATCTTCGCTGGTCACTTGGAATTGTACCTCTCATTATACCTATGAGGGCCCCAGCTTGAACCAAACCCTGTTTGCACCAAAATCTGCTGAGAGGCTTGACTGAGTAGGTGTTCTCAGACAGGGCACCCACACCATACACAAGATTAAGCCTTTTCCTTAATTCAGCTGTAGCCTTTTCTTTTAAAGTTTAGCTGGAGTGGTTGGAGCTGTTCAGGATTTCTCATACTCTTCCTGGTATTTGACAGGTGTTTGCTTTCCAGAAAGAGAATGTCCTTGCAGAATGAGTGTGTTAGTCTACTGAGAGACAAAAAGATCAAATAAAACATTCATGTGCCTAAAGGAAAGGCATTTAGCTGTATTTATAAGGCATTTTGCCTTATAAATAGGCTATTAGTGAAAGCACTCGGTGAGGAAGTGGGAGACCTCAGCATTAATTTCTTACTCCAACAGACTAGGTTGAAAGGGATGCTGTGCTGAAGCTGTTCCACTAAAGAGGAACTCATTTGAGATTTTGGGTCAAAGGCATAGAGAACAAAAGCAAGAGAAGCATGTCCCTGCAGCCTAGAGGTTAACATCTGTGTTAAACGTGCCATACATCTCAGTCAGACTTTTATTGCTCTGACTCGTGTCACTTGCTATACATCACACCAAAAGGACTACTCTTAGTGGCCAGCTTTTTAATTTATTAAAGGAAATTTAATAGAGCTAACTGAGGGAAATGTGAATCCTCATTTTCTCCTGTAGTCCAGTGGGTGCACAGCTTTCTCTGTCAGCAGAGAGCTATCAAGAAAGAGTATCACAGAAAACAAATGACTGTCATTCACAAAAATGCTGAAATGCTTACAATTAATTGATTTTCATGAAGCAGACAGCTATATTTGATTTGTGTACTTTACATTCAGGATCTTTAATAAAGCACTTTTGTTAAGAGTTACATATAGACTAATTTAATTAAGTGCTGTTTTACTTTTCATTAAATTTTTCAGAGAAGTATAATAGAGAAAATTGCTTTACAGCAGAATGCCATTTATTGACAGAAAAGCTCTTTATTCTAGTGTAAACAGTAGCATCAGCATAGTCTGTTTGAAAAGAAACTTCTGTGATTTTGCATGAATTTGTTGGGGTTTTTTTGTTTTGTTTTGTTTTGTTTTAAAGAAGACAGGTATTGTGGTAAGATGTTAGGCTAGGACTAGAAGACTAGGGTTTCAGGTCCTAATATTTTCCGTGCCTAATATTTTCTTTCTGGCAATCCTTCTCTACATTATCAGCTGTTGTGCAGCTGAATTGAAAAATGGTTGGGATAGTGTAGTGAAGGACATGTGCCAGAACAGAGTTAACCTACTTAAAATGTCTTCTGCGTGCACTACCTGCTTCCACTTCAACCAAAGGCAATACACCAACTGTAGGTATCACCTAAATTCAGGCCAAGCATGAAAGTCCTTGCCAGTCCAAGGACTTTCCCACTGAAAACAGTAGTAGAATAGTTCACCCCCTTCAGGAGTGGTATAACCGTCTTAACCGTGACTCCCTGAACAACTTGACACTTGTTGCTTCCTTACATAGCAGCCTTTTTACTGGTTTCATGCTTATGTACCTCTGTGAGGCTTTCTTAGGAGTACAGAGTGACTGGGAAGCCACAAAATTAAAGCCAGCACAGTAAACAGAATATGATCTAGAGAAATTTCATATCACACCTATGACCCTTCCAACTGCAGCGTGACCCCTTTCTCACACACTGTGCGAGATTGTCTTATGTATGTGGCAGAACCTACTGTTTCTGTCCCAAAGCAGAGATGTGCAGGGTATATAATAAGAACCAATGATTTTGCCTAAAAGTAGACTGTATTCAGTGTAGCATTACTGACGCTACATGGGCTTCTGGATCCCAGTACCAAACTGCAGTTTTGGCTTAATTTCAATGATAAAGGACAAACTTAAGCTTGGTGTTAAGCACTGAAGTGAGGCATCCCCTGTCCCTACCTCCTCCTGTGTCATCTTTCACATGGCCTCGTTGACCCACACTTCTGCAAATTGGATTTGACATTTGCTAATGTGCAGGGAGAAAGGGAAATGAGTGGAGCATCAATATTCTGCCTCCAGTGTTCTGGTCTACTGTGCAGAAAGAGTAAGTAAATACTAATTCTCCCAGTGCTGCAGGTATTCACCTCCCTTCAGCCTCTCTGCCCCTCAAATCTAGAGCATTTTACCTGAAGCATCTAGGTGCCTTCTGCAGGACCACGAGTGACCCATGACAACAAATGCACAGATAGCACCTGGCCTTCATTTTGCACAACTTGTAGATAATCCCTCCTTCTTGATGTAGTCGTTGTTTAAAGTTAATAAAAGGAGCCAAGCATTAGATATTCAGTAAAAAAAAAACATTCTTCTGAAATAAATGCCACAGTGATTACTGACATTAGCTACAAATTCCCTATGCTGTTCAGATGCTGTTCTAACCAGTGCCAACTTCCACAGGGCAAGAAATAGACAACCAGTTTTCTTCTCTTAAAAATAGTAACGATCAAATAATATTCTTCATACAGCTTATACTGAAGAAAATGCAGTAGGGTTTGTTGCTCAGGTTAGGTAGTCAAAAAACACTTAACCCATGCTTTCTAAGGGTTTGAACAGACGTCGTGAAGTCAAGCACAGAGGATTGCTTTCTATCAATTCTGGTACATTTACACACAAATGTCTATGTTCCTCTGACACATCTACTGAAGAAGAGGCAATGTCCAGAAAGCTCCTACAGCCTTGCCCACACTGAGTAGTTCCCTTATTCAGAAGTAAACTCCACTGAAGGTTTCTGGGATTACTCACAAAGAGTGGCGCAGCTCAACGTGAGCAAAGCTATTAGTATGTTGTCTTTCATCTTTTTGTTTCACATCTCAGAAATTGCCAGTGCTCCTGGAGCAAAATGGCTTCTCTAAATCGAGATGACACAGAACAACAAGGGCCTGATTCTTATTTTAGACAATGATTTAAAGCTGATTGTGCAGTCTTACTCACGCAAAACTCTCACAAAAGAGAGCTGAAGGACAGTAGGATTGAGTTCTCATCCTACCTAAGTTACATTGCTTGATACTTCAATATTCAACCAATAGTGGTACTGTTCAGACAATTGGTTTTGAAAATGACACATTAACTTCTCATTTTAGATGGGTAGAAAAATTTTTTCATGGTGAAATGAGCAAATGAACAGTTAAAGATCAGGTGCTTGTTGTTAAAATCAATATGGCTTTATAGTAACATTTCATTCTTCCAGAATAACAGAGTAAAAGAGTAAGTGTTTTAACCAACTCATCAGATGTGATCAAAGGTACATTTGGACACAATCGAAACATAAAAAAAAGCTTCATTGATTATTTTTTCCTGTATATGCTATCAGCAAACTTACAGTGGAAGCACAACCACAGCGTGAGTCGCAGAGCTGGTAACTTTTTATGAAATGTTGACAACACACAGTATGTTACAAACAGATTCCAGTCTTCAGCTATTACAAGTAATAATAGAACACCGACATTAAAAAAAAAAAGAAAGAAAATCAGCCCCATTTTACTTCCTTGAAGCATATTCAGTAGTTACACTAAAAACAATTTTTATAGAAATCCTCTATACTCAATAATTCAGAGGGAAATGCACTTAAAAGGAGTTTCTACTGCACATCTTTGAATCAGTTACAGTGAATATTACTTTTTACTGAACTCAGAAGAAATAAGATCCTCTTGATGCATTGAATCAGATGAGTAATTGTGATGAGAAATAAATTAAAATGATAGAAAATGCCCCATTTTTAAGTATGCTGCTGCGCATAGATATTCAGTATCTGCATCAATTCTTTATAGACATTTTGAAATGCAAAAAAAAAAAAGAAGAAGAATAGAAGCATTATTTCTTTTATAATGATTACAGAATGATTTTATAGCAAACAAATTACTTTTAAGGCACATTGGCCACTCCGTAAATACTTCACTTCCACTAAAATCCAACTGTCAATTACATTTCATTTCCATAGATTCGTTGAATTTTATGAGGAAAAACAAAGGGGAAGGATGTTGTTTACAGGCAACAAATCTCATTTCAAAAGCAGTGCAACACTGAAACTGCTGTGTGTCTGCAGACTGAGAAACCACTCTAAGACGAGCATTCAGTGACAAGAACCGATCTTTATCTCGGTAGGAATGAGTATCTCTAATGAAGCTGTCCAGTAGCTCAGAGGTAGTAGCTATGTACCATACGTTGCTTTGGTTGCTCTAGCAATCATAGAGTTTATTCAGACAAACAAATCTGAACTTTTTCACTATGTTGCTACCTACAAACAATCTGAGCTTGTCTCAGCTCTTCTTGATGTAATTTTAAAACAAATTCTCCATTTTGCAAAAGAGAAAATGGCTTATAGTTTCCTCTTTTCGGTCTCTATTTTTTTGCAATATTTGGCTATGCTATTCAGGTACATACTTGTATCCAACCATTTGTTATTTACAAAGGGATGTCCTTGAAAATAAGTCTTAACATCCTTTCTTTAAGTGCAAATGTTTAAACAAAGCTCAAGTCTTTTCATGACTCGAAGACTTATTTCGTGAAAGGATCCAGTAAATTACGGACTTAGACTTCGAAAATATCACAGTTGTTTCTTTAGTGAAATCAAGCAAACTTCTAATGCCTTTGGTACAATTATCTAATCCTTACTTAGGCAGAACTCCCACTTGAGTTGGCCCTGCAGTTAAGTTTTAACACCAGAATCTGAATCACTGACAACCTGCTTTTCCAGCGTTAACCGAATGCTTATAATGAAAAACAGAAGCAACAACCAAAGTTATTGCTCTGTTGTTTCTACTTATGCCATAGAAATCTGAAGAGAGAGTAGAGATACCTTTCAGACAGAACAGAGAGTGTAAAGAAGTAGATGTCTAATAGATATAGACTCAATCTAGCTGTTTCAAGAAGCCTGCTGCATTAGATTAAATTTCGTTGCATTTCAAAGAGCTTTTTACTATGGAAAGGTTAATTTGAGGCAGATGCCAAATCCTACTGCCTATGGAAGGAGTGACACGCATAATAAAAATGGAGCAGTATTTTCGCCCGCAAACAGAACACACACCTTATAGCAGTACAGCTAGAGAGGGGATGTAAATGTTCAGCTGAATCTTACACTCAGTCTGCATTCAGTGATGAATGTACAGACACCACCTTGTCCCTCATTCTACTCATCAGTTTATGACATGCTATAAATCTACAGGAAAAAGTTTGCTTTAATAATTATACAAACTCTTTTGCCTCCTTCCCCCTGCCCCCAAATAATCTGAAGTCACAAACTAGAAATACAAACAGGGAAAAGGAAAGAAAGCAGCATTAATATTAAAGGTTGGGAACAGCTCTACTTTCATTTGAGATTTGTTCACATATGCCACTGACAATCCGCAATGTATGTTTCTCATTAAAAAAATAAATATAAAGGATTTAGTTGCTCTAAGATTGTAAATATGAAGGATTTAAAGACTCTAGTTGTGTGGTGATTGCTCTTCCTCTAAACATCTGCATAGCAGACTATGTCCAACTGCCTGTCTGAGAATGAGAGCAGCACCCATCCAGCCCCTGAGATGAGCCCTTCTGAGGGGAGACCTAAAAGGAGTGGGGGAAGAAAGTTCCCCAGGGCATATACAAGTTGAGCTGGTTGGAAAATTGAATTTTTTTCCTCAGAAAATGTTAGTTCAGTTCACCAAAATGATTTGGTTTGAATGGAAGTTGGTTTAAGAAAGGTCCCCCTTACGTCCAGGCAAGCTACCTGCCCCAAGATAGCGAAGTGCTCAGGCCACTGATCTGAGTGATGGAGCAGGAATTTGCTGCCTGGCAATCCAGCAGGAGGAAGGACCAATGAGGTCATGGGGTGCATGTGCTGTTTTTCATATTTTTTCATGAAAAAGTTCAAAATTCCCAGGTTTGTGCAACTGACAAATGGAAAATTCTGGGAAGACGGGAAAAACATTTCCCATCCAGCTCCATATACCAAGACTTCTTCAAAGAAAAAGAAAACCCCCTGCTTCGTGTTTGACTTAAGCCCTGTGTAAAATCACCATTCAGAAGGTTTTAACAGTAAAAAGGTTTATTTAGAAAAGAGTTTGGATTGTTCCTTAGGTTTTTTTTTTGGCAAACATTTAAATCTTTTCATAACTCAAAAGACTGTTAGTGCCTGATACCTAGCATTTTTCCCCTATGTAACCAGTAAAAGCCAATTTCTTACTGGGACAAGCCCATCAGAGACCCCAGCTGCTCCATGTATAAATACCCAAATCTGCTATTCCACCACCAGTACCACTTAATCCTTTCCTCTTGATGTTTTTGCTTTGTTTCCCACAAAATTCTAGAGCCCATGCGAGGTCACTGCCTCCCAAACTCAGTGTGTTACCCCACCTTCCTCTAGGAATTCCCCACGTTCTCCCTCAGGGTTCAAAGGAAATCGCCCCCTTCCCAGTTTTCCCATCCAGACTGCAGCACAGCTCCTGTCACCATTCCACACCAGGATGAACATCCTCAGCCTCCCCGACCCTTCAGTCCCCATGCCCCAGACCACCACTCAGCATCTCTGAGGGGGTGAGCCCACTTCCTACTGTCTCAGCACAAACCCTTCTCTCCCTTGTTTTTCAGCACAGAGCCCTTTGCCTTCTTTTAACTCCGCTTCTGTTCAAGGCAAATCCTTTCCCCCTATCCCTCCAGCTCAATGCCGGAAGTTCTTCTTCTTCTTCTTGAAGAGTATGTGTTTAAAGGACCTGCGAAAGTCCTGGTTGAAGATGGTGTAGATGACTGGGTTGAGGGAGCTATTGCAATACCCAATCCAGAAGAAGAACTTGAAGAGAGTCTCAGGGATCTCACATGCCTCCCGGCAAATGCCATAGAGGCTGTAACTGAAGAAGAAAGGGAACCAGCAAACTACAAAGACCCCCATCACCACAGCCAGCACAAAAGTGAAGCGTTTCTCCCGGGCCTGGGTGACTTTCTTACGGCAGATGCTGCTGCGCTTCCGGCGACGGCGATATGAGAAGAACTGCATGGAGCGGCTGCTAGAGCGGGACAGACGGCTACTAGAGTGCTTGGAGGAATATGAGTAGGAGAAGGACTGGCTCTTGCTGCTTTTGCGGGGATGCTCCTCCCGACTCCGCCTCCGTCTGCTCTCTGAGGTGCTGCTCTCCTCCAGCTCAATGTCCTCCAGCTCAGAGGCTTTGCGCCACTGGTGCACTGAATAATGTCCGTTCTCTCCCAGCTGCATCCTCAGGGAAGTGCAGCCCCTAGCAGCCCGGCTCAAGCCATTCTCAGTCTGGGAGGACCCCTCCGGCATTGTACGCTTCTCAGAGAGGGTCCTGGTCCTCAGCTTGGCCACGCGGTAGATGCGGATATAGACCAACACCATGATGAGGCAGGGGGCAAAGAAAGAGCCAATGCAAGAAGAAAGGATGTACCACGTCTCGTCGTTGAGCTTGCACTGGGGAAAGACACCTCCCTCAGGCTCCCGGTACATGGAGATCAACGGCGGGAAGGAGATGACGGCTGAAATGAGCCAGACAGTGAGGATGATGGCCTTGATCCGCCGGGGGGTCCGTTTGAGGTTGTACTCCACCGCCTGCGTGACAGACCAATACCTGTCGAGGCTGATGGCGCACAGGTGGACGATGGAGGAGGTGCAGAAGAGCACATCCAGCGCCAGGTAAATGTTACACCAAGCCTTGCCGAAGTACCAGTAATTCATGAGCTCGTTGGCTAAGGAGAAAGGCATGACCAGAGTAGCCACCAGGATGTCTGCGCTGGCCAGGGACACCAGGAAGAGGTTCTGGGGGGCTCTCAGTGCCCGGCTGGTGAGCACGGCTATGACCACCAGCACGTTGCCCACGATGGTGAAGACGATGAGGAAGCCCACCACCGCCGCCAAGCTGGCCACGGCCGCCGGCGAGTAGGGGGAAGGCGGCTGCAGGAGGGGCGAGGACGACGGGGG